GGTAATATTAGTGTCATTTGATTCTATCTATTATCATGTTAATGTAAATATCATGGACTAATTTAAGTCTAGCTACAAGAGAAAGAAGATCCAAGGATAGCATCTTGGCAACTAGAGACATGTAGCATTGAGAGGGAGTGTTGGAAAACACAATGCATACTTGGAAACTTCTAGAAGGATGTAGATATTCCAAGAGCAGACTTCCATTGAAGATTCTAGAGCTATATTCGTGGCAAACGATGAAGACATTACACATGCTCATGGTGAAGGGTTGAAGGTTCTAGAGCTAAATGTTTTGTATATAATAGAAATATATCCAAAGTTTAGATGAAGATAAGGAATGTTCTAGAGTACAAATATCACATATATGCGATTCTTTGGATGGTTACCACTTGGCACAGATCCAATGGTACCAATCATTTAACAACTCTGACTATTGCATAAAACTAGCATATCAGTACAATAGTTGTTATGATGCCATATATATATATGCTTATCTGAGAACCAAATTTGGAACATGGTTAGATAATTTTTGAATAACAAAGCTACCTTGGAGACGTCAAGCTCCATGTGAGATTACCGTGCGCTGCCCCTGTACAAAGGCTTTATTCAGTTGCCCCTTCCCTTATTTTGCTCCTTCCATTCTATGTGTGCCACAAACTTCCTCCCTTTGCCTCTCATATCTTAGCCATCCATATCTCACACCTCCCCTAGGTTCATGCAAATGACAAAACCAAGCTTGACAAAGACCATAATATAAAGACACACCCTCATCTCAAGAGCCAAATGTTGGGGGCCAAAGCTTGCTGGACAAATATTTCTTTGGGTAATGGTGGAAAGGGGAATAGTCTGGTCCCTCGATAATGTACACCCTCCTAGGGATGCACTATTAACTCAAAAGGAATTCATTGTCGAGGGCATAATCATTGTTGCATATTTTGATGCTAGAGTCTAGTTCGTGATAATAATTAATAGATCCAAGTTGGTGATTTCCTGTAGCTTAGGGATAGCAATCACTTTTACTTCAGAAATGAGATCCGGATGCACACACCAAAGCGGGCACTGGCGTGGGGCTGTGTGGATGCCAGGACCATGCTACCATAGACGGCAAGAGGTAGGTGATGTACGGCGGAGGTGTTTTACAAATTCCAAGAATGCAAGAATGCACCTTTGTGAAGAATCGCAACAGTGGGCATGACCAGCGTGGCGACGGACCACACCTCGAGTCTACCATAAACCCTCCTGGACAGACGCGCAACACTTGTCCTATAGGTTCACATGACACCGGCGTAGGTAGGGATGAAAACGGATCGGATACGAACGGATATCATTGATATTACATTTGTTTTCATATTTCTGTCCGGATTCGGATTCGAATATGGATAGTGTCAACCATGCCGGATAGGATACGATTGGATATCGACATCATAAATATGTGATTTGAGTATTCGGATACGGATATGATATCGGGTGTTGAATATCCGGACTCGGATACGAACAGATTTAAACCTCTCTAAACGAATTTGGTCTCGAATACGGTCGGAAAATATCCGTACCATTTTCACCCATAGGCGTAGGGATATGTGGAGCATCGGAGCAGGAGCTACGGTAGAGTGGGTGATGCACGGGCCGGGGGAGGGGGTTTTCCATCTTCAAGAACCCACCTTTGTGAAGATGAATCACTACTAATGAGGGGAAGCACGAGGGTGGGGGTGGTGGCCGGCGTAGGGTTGTGTGGACGCCAGGCAAGAGCTACCACCGGGGACGGATGGCGAGGGGCTAGTGACGCATGGGGACGGGTTTTCAAGCATAAAGTTACCCCCTTTCTTCACAAGGTGGAGAGGAGAGCGCGGGAGCTCCATCATCATTGGGCTCAACCGACGCCGACGGCGAGGGTGGCTCGCCGCATGGGGGTTTTCGAAGAAGCACGGCGGGGGCTCTACCGCGTGTGCGAGAGAACGCCAGAGAAAGAACTTAAATCAGTGAAGAGGGGGTTGACGCCGGGCGTGGCCATCTCTTGCTGATGCCGACGCCACGCATTCTTCTTCTTTCACGAGGCAAAAAAGGCATTCTCAATTAGTATGGTCCAATGATCAATTTTATCTCTCAACTTTTAAAATGACTAGTTCAGCTCTTTAATTTGGCCTTTGGATTTGAACAGCTGCATGCATTGCATGGTCTTTCTTATTGTGGGTGCGCCTGCTCGCCATACATGTGGAATGCTGACAAGTGGGCTTGATGGCATCATGCACCCGGAAGGCCTCGGTACCCAGATGTGGTAGGCGGCGGCCACGGTGTCTGCGAGTTGGAGGAGGAGGAGGTTGGAACTAGCACTCTCTCTCTTCTCCACCGAGTAGTCACGCAACAGGTGGGTGAGAGGGAGGCCTTCACCGGAAGGGAGAAGGCGCCTTGCAAAAGCATGCCCCGCCCGCTGCAATAGTGTCCCTTTGCTCGATTGGATTGGTCATTCTCCCTAGTACTCTTGATTCTAAACGCTTATTCTGAATCCAACCGAATTCAAAATCATCTGAATCCAATGGTGGATGTGGCTTCACTAGGGAAACATGACATTAGACTGAAACTGGTATGATTTCCATACTACTCCCTCCATTCCAAATTATAAGATGTTTTAGCTTAGATGAGTGTAACAAGGGCATGGAATGGATTCTTGTCAGAGTTAAACAAGAGCATTACTTCCATGGCGATGACATGATACATGTTGAGTTCAATGAATTACACAAACTATTCCACCGGGAGGCTCTCGATAACTCTCCCCTCAGCTGCTGGTGCCTGTAAGTGATTCTTTCTATAATAAAATCACTTGTACGTTAGTTCATTTTCTATATAATTATTCTCACACTGTATTCTTTTGTACTATATATATGCAGAAATGAGATGTTGAACCACCGAAAAGCAGGGGTCTTTGATGTTGGTTTTATTGATCCATATACCGTATTCAAGGACAATATTACTAAATGGCCAGATCAAGTGGGGAGGAATATGTTAAAGTTCTTAGATAAACAACATTACAAGACAACGATACTCTTCCCTTACAACTTCGAGTGAGTGTCAATGACTTATGCACATTTTATTTTGCTTACTACATGTTGAGTGTGATTAATGAGTTATGATGCATATAAACATACAACTTTCGCTGGATACCATTGGTCATTGATCTTTCCAAAAGTTGTATAAAAATCTTGGACTCGTTGAGGAAGAGTACCAAGACATGATAGATCTTCTCCAGAGGTAATTTCGGTCTCGCACACTATACCTCTTACGCCATTTTATTGATATCATGAGGAAATAACTTTATTTATTTATTTTCTTGGCATTGCTTGGGTAAAGTTCACTGAGAAACACGATGGTGGTGATTGAAAGGTGCCTCTGGATATAGTCCAATACCAAGTAAGTACTAGCTAGGTCCACGTATCTTTATTTAGTTCAATTCGTTATTACCATGCTTCATTAGTTGATGAATCGTTTTCTCGTAAAGTGTGTCTGATGCAGGAAAAGGGGAACAACTTATGTTGATACTACGTTTGCGAGCACCTCATGCGGTACTCGTTGAAAACAAGTAAAGAGTACCTCGAAGTACGTAAACAATATACACAATTTATTTATTATCATTTTGTTGATATATATATATATACACACACTAATCATATATTCATACTTTTTCTTTCATTCGAATTGAAGCGTGAATAGAGGAAGCAAAAGGTCATACGAGATGACCAAATCAAATCAATTCAATAGTCATTAGTTGGATTTTTTAATGACCAGGTCTTATATCCCAGTGACGCGTACTACTATTACGGAAGAAAAATAGTTCCCAGCCATGATGAAGATTAGGATTGAACGTAATCCCAGGGACATTACAAGTTTTTGTTAGCTTATGTACATATTCCATGTACAAGCTTTTGAAATCTTTGTATAGTTTCATATATTTTAATGTGTTATTTATGTATAATGCTCGAACGGAAAATTATACGTATGGAAATATATTAGTAGCGTAGAATTCGTATACGAAAAGCTAATTGACACAAAAAAAATTTAATTAAAAAAACCATAAAGAAAAAGGAAAAAAGGTACTTTTAATACCGGTTGGCAACATCAACTGGGACTAAATGTGTCCGATCTATGGCAAGGTCTGGGGCCCCATTTAGTCTCCATTGGTATTACCAATCGGGACTAAAGTTCATCTTTCAGTCTTAGTTCCCTGACCCGAATCTAGGAGGACCGGATTCGCAGTCCCGGGTAAAAAACCGAGACCGAAGGAGTTTTCCAACCGGCACTGTAACCCTATCTGCACCAATGAGCTATCCCACGGCCACAAAATTTGTAGGTGAAAACATGTACGTACAATAACTAGCAACCAAACAAAAGTAATTAATCTAACAACTTTGTCATCATACATCTGGTAGTGAGTGTTAGGGAAGAGGAGTAGGCAGATCGCAAATGCACCTGGACAGTCGTAGTCGGATTGTACGTACGTGCGTGTAAACTAAAGGCGCAACAAACTGTTGGAGTCAGTACAAAACTGAAGTGGCCTTTCTGACTACTGTCAGCACAAGCAACAAGTCGAAACTGTTGATCATCCACGTCGATCTCCACTGCTGGTCGATCGAGTTTGTTAGCTAGATACAAATATATTATCTGGCATATATGTGTAAAAAAAGCAGGTCACGCCGACGAGTTTACATGTCTAGCTTGTCAGATTCCCAACCAGCACAGCTCCTATCACAGCAAAGCAAGCACCAGCACACAAAGACAAGGCCAGAATTTGTTCAGAGGTGCAACACTTTTTTCTTGAATATTTTAATTTCATTTCATTTTTGTTTATTTCATTTCTTTTCATTTTTTTATTTTTCTGGAACACCAGCAGCACATTCTTTTTTCTATAAAAAAAGACCCCGGACGGCCTCTGCTAGCACTGTACACACACGGCAACAGCACTCACTGTGTCGTTACTGAAGAGAGTGAGTGAGTGAGCAGAAGCAATGGCGGCGGCACTCCCCGGCCAGCTGCCGGTTCCCTCCTTGTGCCTGCTTCTCCTCCTGTGCTGCACCGGCGCCGGCGCAGCAGCCAGCAGCTCATCATGGGGGGCGTCCCGGGGAGGAGCCGCCAGGGAGTGCGGCTTCGACGGCAAGCTGGAGGCCCTGGAGCCGCGCCACAAGGTGCAGTCCGAGGCTGGCTCCGTCGAGTACTTCAGCCGGTTCACCGAAGCCGACCGAGAGCTCACCTGCGCCGGCGTCTTCGCCGTCCGTGTCGTCGTCGACGCCTTGGGCCTCCTTCTTCCTCGCTACTCCAACCTCCATTCTCTTGTCTACATCCTCCAAGGTAACATATATGCGTGTAGTGTTATATGTACCTCATCTAGATTCTAGAGATTGTGCTATATATGCAATTACAAGAACAACTGAACAATAGTTTCATTTCATCTTATCAATCATTAATTCACTATATGTGTAGGGAGAGGGATTATTGGGTTCTCGTTTCCGGGATGCCAAGAAGAGACCCAGCAGCAGTATGGATACGGATATGGATATGAACATCATCATCATCAGCGCCCTGACGAGCATCACAAGATCCACCGATTCGAACAGGGAGATGTGGTGGCCATGCCGGCCGGTGCGCAGCACTGGCTGTACAACGACGGCGATGCGCCGCTTGTGGCGATCTACGTCTTCGACACAAACAACAACATCAACCAGCTTGAGCCTTCCATGAGGGTACTAGTACTAGCTCCATCCTTCATTACAATATAAGTCGCCAATTTGTTCTTGCATCTTACATATATATATTTGTACAATTTGCAGAAGTTCTTGCTGGCTGGGGGATTCAGCAAGGGGCAGCCCCACTTCGCCGAGAACATCTTTAAAGGAATCGACGCCCGGTTCCTGAGCGAAGCCCTGGGTGTCAGCATGAATGTCACTAAGAAGCTTCAGTGCCGACATGACCAGCGAGGCGAAATAGTCCGTGTGGAGCTGGAGCATGGCCTTCACCTGCTGAACCCACCGTCGCCGTCGTTTCCATCACATGACCAGCATCTTCAGTACCAGCATCGCCAAACATGTCAACGTTTTGACGGCGATGGCAGTAACAACATCTGCACCATGGAGGTGAGGCACAGCGTCGAACGCCTGGACCAGGCTGACGTCTACAGCCCTGGTGCTGGAAGGATCACACGCCTGACCAGCCGCAAGTTCCCAATTCTCGACCTGATTCAGATGAGCGCGGTGCGAGTAGACCTATATCAGGTAAACACAATCGATGACGTACAATGTGAATTACGAATTTGCAATAAATAATCTGCAGATAGATAGATGTTTTCTTTCATTGCTAACTGGAATTGTTTGTGTTTGCAGGATGCCATTTTGTCGCCGTACTGGAACTTCAACGCCCACAGCGCCATGTACACCATCAGAGGTTGTGCCAGGGTTCAGGTCGCCAGCGACAACGGGACGACGGTGTTCGACGGCGTGCTTCGTCCGGGGCAGCTGCTCATCATACCCCAAGGCTACCTTGTTGCCACCAAGGCACAAGGAGAAGGGTTCCAGTACATCTCCTTCGAGACGAACCCTAACTCCATGGTCAGCCACATTGCCGGGAAGAATTCCGTCTTCAGCGATTTGCCGGTGGCCGTCATCGCCAGCTCCTATGGCGTCTCCATGGAGGAAGCTGCAGAGCTGAAGAACAGTAGAAAACATGAGCTCGCTGTGTTTACTCCTCCTGGTGGCAGCTATGATCAAGTTCATGTTGGCAGCGGCCAACAGTAGGCACCTGAGAGTGATCTGCTTGAATAAGTTCTCGTGGACTCTAATAAACAAAGCTTGTTCATGGTTAAACTGCATGTCTGCATGGACGAATCTTTCAACTACATAGCTCGTCAAATAAAACAACTAAACTGGAGAGTTATGTTTCAAATCAGAACTTGTGTCATGGAAACCGATTCCAACTTATCTACATAGATGTGGTAATTAGTCCCTGTCACATGGGGAACAAAATATTCAAGAGCAGATAACAGAGTACAATATATTGATGCACACCATCCGAACCAACTACTACCTACGGTTAAAGCTTGAAATTACCCACTGCTGCATTGATTTATAGTTTGCAGAAACTAAAAAGTAGCAGACCACCACATCTATCTACATGCCCAACTCCAATCTAAAGGTCAATCTTCATCCAGCATTTCCTCATCATCAGCGTACGTTGTTGCCATATCTCCAGCCATCTTCAATGTTGCCCCCATCTTCTTCGGTCACTTCACTGTCATCTTCATACTTTGTTTTACCTGGCCACTGGTTCCTGAAACCACTGAGCACTGATGTCAGAAGGCATCGGTCTCGAAATCTTGCCATTGTAGACTTTGGATGAGTGGACCTTGTGCACAGGGTTCATCTTGCTTCTTTTGGGGTTTGCTGCAATTTCACCAACATCAGCATAGTTATACTGATAGGTTGGTTCAGTCACAACATGCTGACTAGCAGAAGCACCGAGCTTACCATTTTCCTCTTGATCGTGTTCAGGAGCTGAGTTTTTAGATGGCCCATTTGTAACTTTGAATGTATGCTTTGTTGCAGCCTTCATAGGGACAGGCCGCAGGCATATTGACAATCAGCAAAGCTTGTAGTTGTTGCTGGAGTTGAAGGCTTCAGGGCCCTTTGTGGTTTCTCTGCTGATGGTGTATGTTGCACTGCAACAGGTGTTCCAGTCTGCATCAAGACCACCAATGGACACAATCAAGTAGCATGGGAAGAGTATGCAAAGGTCGTATTAAAAAATTTAAAATTTACAAAAACATGCTATGCAACTTTTAAAGAATGATTATTCGAACTTTTAAAGAATGGTTGTTTAGTTGAGTAAGTTATATTAAATCAATATGACATGAATCTGAGTAGTTAGGGGTGCTGCAATTTATTGCAACCCGAGATTTTTCTTTTACTTGTGCAACTGTAATACACAATCAGTTAAACTTGCAGAAAAGCCACAAAATCTTTCGAAAGACCACGGATATATGCAAACTTTGCATTGACACATGGAAAGAGTAAACAAAATTCATATTAGCAAACATGAATTTACAAAGTAACACCATGGAACTTAAAAGATTATTTAGTCAGTTTTAACTATATTGTCAATTGATATGAGATTAATCTGACAAACTAGATGTACTGCAACTCATTGCAACCAGAGTTTTCCTCTGTGTATAACTGGCTGCTATATGCAGTTAGCCAGTTAATCAGTTACGCTTGCTGAATAGTCCAAAAAAATTCTCGAAAGAACCTGGATGTCAGGGACAAAGCTGTTTCTATAGTCCTATGTTCACCCACAGATAACATAATAACTAGAGTTTGGGATACCCTTCACCTGATATAAAAAATAGAGTTAAATGCACGAGCGGCCCTCGAACTTATAAGCGTGTCACATAGGCCCCTGAATTTTGAAAATGCATTTCTGGACCCCTAAACTTGTTAAGTGGTGCACTGCAGGCCCTTGCCAGCCATGTGGACATTTTTCGCTGATCTGGCATGCTAGTGTGGCATGTATTTTGCCTTTAACCCCCTCACATTTACTTTTCTCATAAAAATAGACCTTTCCTTCTCTCTAATCTTCCATGGCCACCATGTGCATCGGCTCCCGGCGGTGAGCGGTGGCAGGAGAGCAGGCCCAGGCCTCGGCGCACCCGGGAGAGCCCACGGCTTGCCTCGCGGTGGCGGCAGGAAGTGGGGAAGGCGGCGGTAGACTTGGGCGGGTCAGAGGAGGAGGGGAAGAGGGAGCTCGACGCTCGCCTCCGCTCAGCAGTCAACAGCGAGCAGGGAGACGGTGGTGATTGGCGCAGATGCGGCGCGGTCGAGCGTGCTTAGGCTTGGAGCGACCGCCTAGGCAGGAGCATGGGCACGCGCACAGGTACCAGCAGCAGCACCCCCTCTCCGCCGTCCACGCACACCCTCCGCCTTTGACCTCCTCAAATCTCGGATCCCCGGCCTTGTCGCCGCCATCTGCGCCTGGGGCCGAGCTCGCCCAGTCGTGCGGCCACTAGGGGCCCCGAGCTCACCGTGCATATAGGTGGCGTGGCGCAGGTGCAAATGCGGCTAGTGAGGGCGTGGCCGCGGGCTCTCCTGGGTGCGCTGAGGCCTGGACCTGCTCTCCTGCCACTGCAAGCCGCCGGGAGCCGATGCACATGGTGGCCATGGCAAATGAGAGAGGAGGAAAGGTCTATTTTTTATGAGAAAAGTAAATGTGAGGGGGTTAAAGGCAAAATACATGCCATGCTAGCATGCCACATCAGCGAAAAATATCCACATGGCTGGCAAGGGCCTGCGGTGCACCACTTAACAAGTTTAGAGGGCCAGAAATGCATTTTCAAAGTTCAAGGGCCTATATGACACATGCTTACAAGTTCAAGGGCCGCTCGTGCATTTAACTCTAAAAAATAAATGCATAGAAGGGCTCGTTTATCGATGTGACCTCATCCTTAGGTATCTTTATAATTTCATAAGTAACATAGAATGAAATAAATGCATATGAAGGCATCTATATGGAGGCTCATAGGCTGATAACATAGAATTATAGCATAAGCACAACACACAATAGAAGGACAAAAATAGAGCAGCGGCATTTAGCAATACTGCAATATAGCCTATTAGTCTGGCATGCTAGCACTAGTGGAAAAATAGTTGGTTAAAAGAATCTTTTACTGATTATTTTTACTTACTTAGGATGTAACTTAGGTATTAAAAAAAAGGGTAAACACTGCAACAATCAACCACAAGGCCTAGTGCACCTTGAATGATGACTACATAAGTTTAAGCATAATAGCAGTACCTTTTCATATGACTTGGCATGGGCTCTTAGTTTGGAGCCACATGTAAATCTTTTACCACATGCTGCGAAAGGCATATGTTATAATTCTCCGATGCATGTGTTTACAGGTGCAAACATAAGTCAAAATCCAATGAGAGGGCCTGAAATTCAAAGCATTTGTTTGTTAGAAGATGTAAATGCACTATAGCCAGCCAAAGCACGAACAACGGAAAGGCATCCATTCACAATAAACGAAAGGAACTGGTTAGATTGTTTGGGTCAGGCCACCATCCTGGTGGCCCCCAAATGGCCAAATGGTTTTCAACAAGCCTGGGGCTAGTTACAGGCTCTACTTTTAAGAGAGAGAAAAAAATAATTTGAATCTCAACTCAAGCTGAACCACTTCTAGCAAGGAAAAAAAGAAAAAAAACAAAACAAACAAACCATGCCATTTAAGTAATTATGGATAACATGAGTTAGCATACATATATATGGTAGATGACATGAGTTTTGAGCTTCAGTAGCCGAGTACAGGATCAGTAGATGTTTGCCCCATACTAGAGTTTAACACTTGATGTTGGTCATCAAGTGAAATGGTGGTTGTATGACATAATCGGATTGTATATTTGTTTTTCCCATAGCAACACAAGGACCTTCAGCTAGTCTATTACACATTATTTGCTTGACAAATGTGGCCCCTTAACAAGAAAAAAATATGAAATGCATAGTAAGAAAAGAATGAAAATGTTATTTTGTCTGCATAATCAGTTAAAGCATGCTGGTTTAACTTAAAACAAAAAGGTACCCTAGTTCACTTATTGCACAGCCCTTACATTTGACAAGTTAAAAGTAGAGTTCAGAACAAGTAAACTACAACCCCAGAACTTCAAAATTAAACAGACTTATTACCTTGAGGGCTACTCACATGCTTCAATTGGAATGGACACACACTACCAGGAAACTGAATTACCTTGAGGGCTGTAGACAGCCAAGTAAATAGCTCAAGGCGGGAAACCATAAAGGAAATAGCTCATGGTGGGAAACCATCAGCAAAGTCCACCAAAAATATAGAGCAAGGGAAATACATTTCCTTGGCTGTTTGGCTGCCAAGGAAAATAGGGCCACATCTAATGTGTCATACGGAAAAGGAAATGTCTTAATGCCAAGTAAATAGCTTTTGTTTGGAGACTCGTACCCCGCAGGCCAAGGAAATGTTCCAACCAACCTAGGTAGCTTTAAAAAACGCCAAGGTAATATGATGTAGACTAGGCCCGATCTTCCGAAAGGTATGATAGCGTCGATTGGTGGAGACTCGACGTTCATGATCTAGGCTTCGAACCAAGACTGATTCGGACCCCCGCAACCGTTACACCACTGCTCCGTTGGTTATCAACCACGCAAACGCGATTGACCTCGCCGAGAAGGCTTTCCTGCAAGCGAATCGAGAACACAAGCAAGAACGGGATAAACGCAATCTAAAATTGCAAGTAGATATGAGGCTTATGAAAACAAGGAGTTCAAGTCTTTATTTGAAAGGACTAATCGCCACAGGCGAACAAGATCAAGAATTGGGGCTCTGGTTCACAACAAGCGGCCTTGGCGGCACAGTTGCAGTAAAACGACGTCTGTTTCACGAGGAAATCAAGAACTAAACAAAACCCAAACCCTAAGGAGAGCGACGGCTGCTATTTATAGAGTCTTAGGCGTCACCCCCCCTGGACGCGCCCCCTAATGGGCCCAAACACAATACACGGTCCAACGGACCAAAAGACGGTGTCGCAGCACCCTGGTAGATTCTGGACGCTGACTTATTTCGATGATTCCTATTGATTCCGAAGAGCTTTGGACGTGAAACCACTTGGATTGGCTTTCTTATCAAATTAACTTTCCATCCATATGTGGATCGTCGAAAACGGAGTCAGAATACGTCCTGGGTGACCAGTTTAAGGCAGACTGGTCCTGAAAGCCGAGG